CCCCCCGGAGCAATGCTTAAGCAAGAGGCTGCTAATGAAAGGTTGATAGTTGGAATCCCTAAGAGAAAGATGTGGACAACTGCTTCTAAAGTCTTTTTATAGTTTTAGAAACCCTATGTGGCAGTTCCATTCATCAGTTTAATAGCAACTTTAAAAGCAAATTGTTTTGCTTTGGTAGGTTGGGCTTAAAATCTGCAATTCCAACAAATTTTCAGGTGCTATTGGGATCAAACATTACAAATTCTTGTCTGAATCACATTTCAATTTTTTTGATAAAGTTAAAAATTATTGTTTGATCATGTTATAAGAGGTTGTGAGAGTTGGAAGGTCTTTATCACCATATGCAGCTAAAGATCAGTAATAATAAATCACATTTTAAATGAATCTGGTAATATTGTTGTGGATGGGCACAAAGGTTTCATATTACCCAGTTACCATTGCCAGATTGCAGAAAGCAAGTGAATTAGAAAGATTCTAAACTTTATTTTCACATGCATGAGACAGGATAACAGGGTGGTAGAGATCCTTCTTCCAAAAGTTCCTCTCCCATCTCTTTGTTCTCATAAGATATAGGTTATAGAGACAGAGATATACACACCCACATATATGTTGAGGGAAGTAGTTTTTCCAAGCAGACATAATCTTGGAATGAAAAGTACAAGCTGGTAAAACAAAGTTATGTTTTAACAAAGATCTTATGTTACAGAGCTTCCATTTCTAGGTATCCTTACTCTAGAGGAGACTGCCCAGATATGCAGACTCCGGCTCTTAATGAGTGGGGAGAGACAGATTAGTAACACTCAGAAAGGAATTGAGTATTTGACTTAGCTAGGGTCCTTGTTCATTTGTACTTGGATACAATCACAGGAGACACTGTGAGACAACTAAGCATCACAACAACATACCAGCCACCACAGTACAACAGACTGATAGACAAGTGATGGTGAATGCTCTTGCATAGTCAATAAAACACAGGTAAACATCTTTCTGGTACTGTCTGCTTTTAGCTAGAGGTCATATGACTTCTGCAATGATGTCGCTTATTCCGTGTGCTCTTCTGAATGAAGCCTGAATTTCTGCCACCTCCCTCTGCATGTACTACTGTGATTATTTTTAAGTAACTTTAGAAAACTTGCAGCCTTCAGAATGGATTGTAACTCACTGTAAAGAGACCAAAATCTGCACAACAGGAGCAATAGGTAATATCATGGGAGCATCAGTCAAGAGGCCAAAAGAAGCATTTTATTAGGCGAATCTGCTGCACAAAACCTCCATAGAGTATTTGAAAGCAAGGATGTTATTTTGAGGAAAATGACATACTTGACCCAAGCCATGGTATTTTCATTGCCTCATATATATATGAAAGTTGGACTCTGAATAAGAAGACTGGATAAGAATGGATGCATTTGAATTGTGGTGCTGAAGAAGAATAGAGAAAGTACTATGGACTACTAAACGGACAAACAAATCTTTATTGGCAGAAGTAAGGCCAGACTGCCCCCTTAGAAGCAAGGATGGCAAGACTCATTCTTACATACTTTGGACATATTGTCAGGAGAGACCAGTCCCTGGAGAAGGGCATCATACTTGGTAAAGTGGAGGGGCAGTAAAGAGGAGGAATGCCCTCCATGAGATGTATTTACACAGGGGCTGCAACATTGGGCTCAGGCATGGGAACAATTGTGAGAATGGCTCAGAACTATGTGGTGTTTTATTCGGTTGTGCATATGGTCACTATGATTCAGAACTGACTTGCGGCCCCTAACAACAACAACAACAACAACAATTATCTTATATAACATGGAGATGTTGGCAGGAGAGCCAAGTCTCTGGAAAATGACATCGTTCTTGGCAAGCTGGAGAGACAGCGAGAAATAGGAATGCCCTAAAGAAGATGGATTTACACAGTGGCTGCAACAGTAAGAACAATTGTGAGGATAGTGCAGGACCAGTCAGTGTTTCCTTTTGTTGAGCTTAGGGTCACTATGGGTTAGATCCGACTCAGTATTACCACCACCAGACAACAACTGATGGTCGCTATGAGTCAGAATCAATTCAATGGCATTCAGTTTGGCTTTTACTTGCTCTTTGTGCTTGAACTCCTCTGTTCTGTCTCATGCTCTGGTTCCTGGTCCTACCCTTTCTGCTCCTTTGGCATTCTTCTGATGCCCAAACTGTCTCTTGTATCAAGGAGGTTCAAAATTAGGGTCCAAGAG